GCCTGCGCGTCATCCGAGTGGATGCTGCACGCTGGTGGTGGTTGAGGAGAGACCCCCCCTCATGATGATTGTAAAGCGCTTTGGGTGTACAGCAATACACAATAAAGTGCTATATAAATGCCTCATTCATTCATTCATCTGTTATTTTAATAAACAAAACTGTTAGCCAATCATAGCAATGGGCGTTTACTTGCGAGTCTTGAATGCCCCCCACGCCTATAAAAACAGACCGTTCTGCAGAGAGGCACAAAAACAGGATAGAAAATAGCATATTACTTCTAAATTATGTTTTTTTTTTATGTAAAATCACACTAACTAGCTCCGCGATGCGCTTCTACGACATCACGCATGACGTAATCACGTTGGAAAGGTCATGCACGGTTAGCTCTTCGTCTGTGTACTCCAGTTCAAAAAGGTGGGGTAGGGCGAAAAACTCATCTCATTTTCTCCTCCAACTTCAAAATCGTCCGACATCATTGTCTTACCTTTTCTTTGTAAAGGGCGTTTGACTTTCTTTGCACGTTCGCTTTGTAAACACTGGGTCGTACTTCCGCGTGACCTTTCCAACGTGACTACATAATGAGTGAATCCAGCTAGTGCAAGATGAACATTTGTGGTAAAAAGGATATAAATTTTTATTTTTTTTTAGAAAATGACTGATCGTTTCAATAGATAAGACCCCTATTCCTCGGCTGGGATCGTGTAGAGCCCTTTGAAGCTGCACTGAAACAACAATTTGGACCTTCAGCCCGTTGGCCACCACTGAAGTCCATTATATGGTGAAAAATCCTGGAATGTTTTCCTCAAAAACCTTAATTTCTTTGCAACTTAAGAAAGAAAAAGGAGTCAGTTTATTTTTCTGGCCCCACTGGCAGATATTTTTTCTTGTTTTAAGCATATCTCATTTAATTGTTCAGAAAACAATATATATTTTGATTCTCAAGTAAATGTATTTTGACTTAAGAATGTTTAGATATTTGTACTGGAGAACGAGACAAAATTACTAAGAAAGAAAATCATTTTTGCAGTGTTCTAAACAGAATTCTTCGATATCGTAAATATGAAACAGAAACCTGTGAAATCCACAGACAGATGGGACTCTGACAGGAGTTTTGGGGTGAGGTGAGCGTGGAGATCGGCAGCAGGGCGAGCGAGGTGGGGAGGCAGAGGAACAGCAGACAGGAAGTGAACAGTGCGGGGACAGGAAACAGGAAGTGAGGCGCTCTCACCTTGGGGGTGGGACAGGAAGCGGTGGAGAGGCGGGAGGTAGCCTGGGCGCGCGGCGACTCGGATGGCGTGGTGCTCAGAGATGCCGTGTCACGGGGAAGGACCTGAACACCCCGTGAGATGATGGAGTCGGGAATCTGAGACACGAAAGAAGGATGTTTATTAAAATCATAAACACCCAAACATATGCTCTCTTATTATTTGTGCATTATATAATGTAAAAAGTCAAAGTTTGCAAGTTTTGAAAGCATTTATTTCCACTGAACTTATGATGCAACA